TATACCTAATCTGTGCTAATGGTCTGTTCTATAGTTTAACAATTAAAGAATCTGAAACAAACCTTCCATTATTTTCCCATATTTCTATAGGTTTCCATTGCTTTACGTTAATTATTTATTCACAACTTTTTTAAAGCAGTGTGTCCACGATAATCTAGAATTTCTTGATAGATCTCGAGTATATTATTAATTCTCTGACTTTATAGACATTGATGAACTTCTGTAATTGAATAAATTAGTGCGAACCTCTAACAACATTCCAGTTTTATTTTTTGTTGAATCTCAAGTTACTGAGAATTATTAACTTCTGGTTTGGTTAATTCAATTCTCTAAGGGCTATGAGTAAGACGAGGGATATATAAGAATTTAATTTGTAAAATTGACAATCGATTCAAATGTGGACTACCACACGTGTGAACTACCATATCGGTAATATTTGTCTACCAATTTGATCGTTTTGCCACGAATGGCGGTACTAGTCAAAGGCATTTGAATCGACTGAGTTAACTTAGCTAATTGGAAAACCTTAAATTGTCGGTTACGTCGAACGCGATACCGAAATGATATGAAATTTCAAGAGTATTGCCACTAGATGGCAGATATTAACTTGTTTCATTAACAGGAAATATCTAGAGCATGTGCCCAAAATTGTTGTGATAGCGGTGTTCAAAAAGAGCTTTGTCGTTCATCCGTGAAATTGTTTGTTATGAAAATGTTAATACGCGAACACTTCGTATTATAGTTATTGGACAATATTGCTTGTTTATAATTGCGTATTACTTAATTGTATACAAAACATTACGTACCACACATTTGATAATTTTACCGAAGGATGGCATGCGAGATACGTAAATATAACCTTTATTACAAAGGGTGTATTATTATTTTCAGTCATGTTTCAAAAATATGATTTTGTTTACTTGTAATCAGATATTAAAGGAACAAAACGAAACACGTGTCCATCGAATGATGTTTCTAGCGTAGTAATTAGATTGACCAGAGAATTAAAAGTCACGTATCATGGGACGTAGTCGTACACCTTCGCCGTCGAGAAGGAGAGATCGGTCGCGAGATCGAGATCGTGAAAGAGAACGCGACAGAGATCGAAGAAGAAGACGTTCCCGCGAGAGAAGAAGAAGGTACTTTACGTATTCGTTTGAGTATTTTTAATTTGCGCATAAATTTGCCATAAATTTAATATAATTGGATAGATCTGTAGATCGAGATCGAGTGAAATCAAGGGACAGAGAAAGGGAACGTGACCGTGACCGTGAAAGGCACAGGCGTTCATACAGTAGATCCAGATCCAGAGAAAGGGATAGACCCAAACCTAAACAGAAATCTAATACAGCGGAACGTCCTATTATCACAGGTAGATTAATGGTTAAAGATAATCTCACGATAGGTCGTTAGTTATATCTTTTTTATCTAAATAAATTTGATGTTTTACAGAGGCTGATCTTCAAGGGAAAACACCCGAAGAACAGGAAATGATGAGAATAATGGGTTTTTGTGGTTTTGATACTACCAAGGGTAAAAAGGTCGAAGGCAACGATGTGGGCGCTGTGCACGTAATTTTGAAAAGAAAATATAGGCAATACATGAACAGGAAAGGAGGGTTCAATAGGCCATTGGACTTTGTAGCATAAAATATTATGGGTACGCAAGTTTGTCATAAAAGTAATGGAAACATAATAAATTCAGTCATCAATTCAGAATTGAGTTTTTATCAAGCAAATAATGCTTCAATCCTCTGTTCTTAATCGTTTCTTTGAAGGCTCCGACTCATCAGCAGTACTGCTTGACTTATCCAGGTTGGACTTGTGAGCTTCACTTTCTGAATCCTCTGAATTTGATGATGAAAACTATTGAACAATAAAAGCATTACGAGAAAAGGCATAATAGTTTGCAATTATGAATTTTCTGGTGAACATTATTACCATGCTGACATCCATTTTTTCAAGACCTTCCACGAGTTGCGGATTTTTAATTCTAAAGTCTCGCGTCACGCTGTGTTTCATGTAGTTTTCCAAAGGTACCTGTCACAAATACGTACAACAATGAAATAGGAACAACAATGAAAATGAGTTTATGTTGTTACATATTTAATACTCACGCCTGTTTTTTTACCAAGTAACAGTACTTCCTTGTTGAACTGCTCAATTTCGTAAACGACGCGTGGTATTATTTTTGTTTCGCGTAAAATCTTGTTCCTTTGCGCGTGAGAATCAGACTTTGAATTCAATTGGTTTTGCTTTTCCTTTAAAAAGTACGTTAATTGAAAAACCAAACCAGACAATAATATAAGAAACATTGAGAATAAGATTAATTACCTCTATATATGTTACTAGATTGTAAAAGGCAGATTTCAATGGTTTGCCAGCCAATTGGACCACTTGAATAAATCTGCAATAGAAGCCAAATAACTGTTAAATCATAATAACAAATCACCCCTTTCAAAACGTAATACGTGTATCTGACACATACTTGACCGTCTGGAATGCTGCGTTCTCTCCATTCGACTTGGCGCAAAAGTATTTGGTAAGATTTCCTAGCAAATGGTATAAACATTGCAAATTTTTAAATGTGTTGTCGGTACACGGGCCTGGCTCTATGGATGTGTTCACCAACGTGTGGAGTACTTGGGCCAAATAGGACAACCGTTTGCACAAATTTCGTTCCTTCTCTTTTAAATTGTTATTACCTGTTTTGACAAGGACATTGATATTTCAATTACACATGTGTATTTTCTCAATATCTAAATGTGTCACTAAGTATCACTACATACAAATTTCGTCGGTCGTTCCAGATATACGAGCTATAATGTCTTCTGCCTTTAAACGAGACAACAACCAAGAAGCATTGTTCAATTTTTCCTTCACACAATCATTCAACACGTTATAGATCTGTTCAAAAGTTTCTTCGCAGATGATTTCATATTGCTCAATCGGTATTGCTTCAGTCTGTGCTCATAAAATACAAAGGTAAAAAACAAACACGTTGAGAGATTAAAAGAGAGAGCATAGGGTATTGTAAAGAATTTTTAAAAATGATTGCTTACACCATCGATGGTGCCCACTTTCTCACATAGCTTCAGACAGACCTCGTTCAATGTCTCTCCATGTTCTTCTACGCATTCCTCTAAGCGTAACAAAAATTGGATAACGTTAGAAACAACGGATGTTTCTAATTCCTTTATCTGCGTTACTTTTTTTATGCATTCAAACACCTTTTTCACAGTATATGAAAATAATGATGGTAACATGTAGAATATTCAGTAACGAATCATCACACAATTGATTGATGTACCAACCTCTTTGCCATCACATTTTGCAAAATTAATTTTATATGCAAGTTGTTCCATAGTTTGTAACAACAGAATGGGCACTTTCTTTTTCACGTTGGTACTCATTTCTCTGGTGAACGATACTACGAAATAATCGTATAATGATATAACAACTTCCTGCAGTTGCAAATTAACATCTTTGGATACGGAGTCCTTTCTCGATTGTACTTAATCGAAAAATAAATAAATCAATTATGAAATGGCATAATATGATAGATTATTGCACGGATCAATCAAGATCACCTACATATTGTGCTCAGGAATCGAGGTAAATCCGATGAAAATGATGTGCACATGCAATGACAAATCTTCTTGAAGCATTGTAAAGCTAGTATTGTCACCTGTTCATCATAATTGTCGTCATTGTTCAGATTTAATATAAAGTATTCATAAAGTAACCTGAACACCAAAATGTATTGTTTAGAAAGGAATTCTATTTTTTCCGTTTCCTTTTGCTCACCTTCCAATTTCAATGTAAACATTGATGTACAAGTCTGACTGCATTTGTGGAGCATCCACCATTAGCGACTCAGTTTTTTGTAACAGTTGTTCACACGTTTGGAACACGTAATAACAGAAGTTCTGATTTTCACGAAGTTTCTCAATTTGAGTTTGAGTCGAGAAAGGTCGTCTGTCTCTTTATAAATAATAAGGTTCATTACATACTTTCCAATACCTATCCAAAACAAGTACTTCTGTATGCACTTACGAATATAACAGGGACAGACATTGGTGTATTGTATCCAAATCCATAATAGTAGTTGGTATTTTAATGCTATCCGACTTAGCAACTTTTCTTGTCACATTGCTTATATCCTTATTTTTCTTAGTTTTGCCGTCTACTTTCTTTGTTTTTGTAGGTTGCTGTCAATAACACCATAGTGTTGATAAATTAGCTTCAAATCATTAGTAATAAAGAATAGATGAATTGTAATCGTGTGTTATATTTTACCACCTTAATCAAGTCCACCAAGCACGTGTATCCTTTGAATAAATTTTCAATATTACTGCAAATTTCTGGTCTCTCTTTCAAGGATAACTCTCCTATTTGAAACGCTATTAATGCTTCATGAATCATGATCGCCATATCAAGGTTTTTTAACCTGATCTGAGATTTCAAACTGTTCTCAAAAAGATCTGTTCCTCGTTCCTATGATAATTCCTATGTTAAAAGCATGGACAAAGTTTCAACAATAATACTTTTATTACCAAATTCAAGTGTTCTAAATCAGTAGCTGCAACACGCTTGCTCAGCGATTCCAGATGATTGTACCACCTATCGGATATGTTTGAATTTTTAGAAATTGCATCACTGTATATTTTCTGTATTGCAAATATCAATTCCGCTATAGGTTCTTTTAAAATTATGTCCATCTCTTGAACATCCATACACAATTCAAATTTTATAGGTGGCAGGACATTGTCGTCCCTTTCGACGTAAAGATTCAAATGTGAAAAAAGCATTGTCAGCACCATCTCCGTAATGTCAGGATTTTTCGTGACGGCACCGTACAATCCTAAAAATGTGAATGATTTAGAAATTCCAAGTAAAGCATAAAGAGTGAAAGAGAAATATATTTGACAAACCTTTGTATAAGTGTAATCTAACTTCAAATTCATAAGTGAAGCTTTTCTTTAATATATCCAATATTTCATAACATAAAGTTTTATCAGTTTCAGTGGTTCCTTTCTCTCGTTGTGTACCGTATTCTATAGTTGCCTAAATAACATAACTAGTGTTATTGTGTTATAACCAGTGGTAAATAGAATGTAATAAATGAGTCAATGAAATGTAGGCTGCCTAAGAGTAGAAATTTATTATTAAAACGAATATACCTGAGTCAACACTGATGAGGAATTTGAACTACCATGCATGGAAGAACTGCAGCGTTGGCTCAACCTGAAGCCACTCAAAGAATGCATTTTTGAATATTTTAACATCTCGAGAAATCCAGTGACTGCCATTTGACGTTTGGCCGCACCTTTTCTATAAAGAGCTTTCCTCAAAGTCAAAAGAAGATTCTCTCGTATATTGGCTGATATACGCATTAGTGGAAGAATAGCAAACAAAACTTGATCAGCTACTAGAGCAGGCAAAAATAATAATCGCTCTAGGAGAATCATAATCCAAGTTTGATGATCCAAAATTATTACCGATAATTCACCACATGCATACTTTAAACAATCTAAAAAGAATACATTTATTTTTAATCAAATCAATTAGAGAATAGCACATTTTGTTACCTGTGTAATATCTTGCCGGTGTTCCACCCACTATTATTTTGTCAACTAACTCTTGCAATATAGTAGGCACTGTTTCATGCTGTTTTTTCATTATTTCTCGAACAATTTCTGCTCCTGTAGAGCACACAACTGTCATATTATGTTTAAGTTTTTGATTTGTACTCATTAACATGAATGCTAATTCCACAAGACCTTTCAGTACCATATGACGATCTTTGTTACTGTAAATAATAAGAAATCATATGTCTGTACATAGGAAAATTCATGATGTATTACCTGGTGTCAATGATTTGCCGAACAATGATAACTATATTAAGTTCAGAGGGTAAAAGTTTCCTCAGCCAAGCACTATGTTCTTTCTTTTCTTTGTCCAGACTATCATTAACAATAACCATCTTCAATATATCAAAAATCTGCCAGATGCATCCTTTGTCATTAGAAGAGAGCAAACTTTACATACTCTAAAGTAGAATAAATTAAATTTATATTCATTGTAATTACAATTACCTGATCTGTGTATATACTAGATACAGACATTAGTATAGCAAGCATAAATGGTTGCAAGATATACTCTGGTGTATGACATACAGATTTAAGATGACGAATAAAGTCTTTTAAACTTTCATGGTTTAGTTGTACAGCTTGGTACAGATAATATAGTACAGTGCTCTCAATATCCGTGACCTCTTTTATAACTATGTTACCTATGTAAAATGATTAAAACAACATAGAATAGTTAACAGTCAATCTCATATATTATAGATTGTACGAATTACTCACCAATATCTTCCACACTGTTCTCATTATCTACTGAAAGTACTTTTGCATAACAAGACTGAAAATATTTACACAACATATTCAAAAGGTATTGATGGTCACGATCTTTACATAATTTTAAAGTTTGGTACGCGAAAGGTGGCACTTGGCTTAGAGACAGATTGGGTAAATGATGACACAATGTTCTGATAACCACTTGACGATCCGTCTTATCCAGAGCCATGTCCCTACAGACAAAAACATAGAATAAGTAACTGCTTTCATAAGATTTGAAAGCCATCAACTGAAAAATCATTTACCCAAACATTTTAGCAAACAGTGGCAAGTGGTTGGTATTCCATTGATAATTACAGATTGTCTTAACAATCAATGATTTATACTCGTTCCCAGATATTTGTGTATCCATGCGAACAATGCACTTTTCATTTTCTAATGCTTCGAGCAGTACAGGTAACAGATCTTTCCAACTATCGAAAAACAATGATATTTATCCATTAACACAATACTTTAATGAAGAAATTATTAATTTACCAGAGTAGTTCGTCCTCGTTATCATCATCACGGATAGACGACACACAAAAGTCAACGAGTTTGACAAGGTCCTGTTTGGAATGCTTTGGCAGATTGAAAATTATTCGGTTAACGATCATATCCGCGTGCACCGTGGGTATTTGAATTTTTCCTAAAATCTCCAACGTTGATTCGATCACTTTGCGTCGTTTCGATTGACATTGTTCAGAATCGGAAAACGCTTCCAAAATATCATCCAATATCTTCGGGGCGTCTGTCTTACGGATACTATTCCGTATTATTTTCGTGATCTGTTCAAATGACGGTTTCAGTCAAAATATCCATTCATCATTCATTTATTTATATAAATTACCTCCTCCACATTCGAATCTCGAACAAATGCGCGCATTTCCAGTTGCCTCTCAGGAGATTGTACATTTTGGAATTGTTGATACATGATTTCAATAATTAACAGCTTCACTAATTCTTTCAATTACTACGCCGTTTCCGCGTGGAATGGAAATTCGAAAATTCACACATGTGACTCGGAAGATTTGGTCCTTACCGATGGATACCATTCGGTGATACAATGGTACCTACATCTAATTGTCAGGGAGTTTAGCAAAAATCCGCATAGAGGACGTAACCTTGGAACACCGTATACTCAATGCAAATGCGCACCAAAAATCCAATTACGTTCTATAATGACGCGTATTTACTAGTGTTTAAACACCTGTTGCTCTAAAAAGGAGAAAAACAAGAATAGCTCTGTGTATCCAGTGATTAGCATATAATGCATGAACAGGAGAAACAATTGAACAAACCATCGAATACACGAAGAACCTACCCCTATGCTCTGTTAGCTCCCATGCCAGGTACCCGTCGACGTTAAAATAAACAAATAAAATCTAAATACTCGAGAAAGACACTGACAATGCGTGGTGTATAAGGCAAGTTATTTTATAGTTAAAATCAAAGATAAAATTGAAACTTGTTGACACGAAACTTCTTAACCCTCCATAGGCCCATGCAACTTTGAAGTCATGTGTCAGTACGTGGCATCTTGTTTATTTCATTTTGCACTCAAAGTGGTGAATAAAATTAAATAAGTTGACTTAAACTTTTATACGCTCAGGCGTAAAAATTTGTCATTGTAACTTGAAAGTTGTAAAATATATTCGTTTGATGGAATTATTGAAACTATTGAATACATTGTTAATTCATATGTGGATATTTATTAATTTCGTACTGCATAGATTTTGTTATAATCAAAAACATAATTTCGTCCCATAGAGGGTTAACAAGAATCAGTGTTGTTCATTACCCACGGATCAAAACAAACAACTATTTTACTATTATCAATTTATTATCTTCAAACGAAATTTCCACTTCAGGTAGAATTGCCATGTGGGTCACCGGTGACCCCGCCGAAACTCAGCTACTATTTTCTCAATCGAACGACGATTAAGACACTCCTGTATTGTAAACAACGATAATAACAACGCAATGAAATAATTTATTGTAATTGTTTCTCCCGTAGTCTGCAGCCGAAAATAAGGCATTCGACGTAATCATAATCCAGCGGAATTGCGAAACACGTGAAGCCTAATATGGTGATGCGAGTAGCGAAATTAGGCAGGACAATTCGAAAGCAGTAATAGCGGCGGTTCGATGGCACGCACACGTTATCGTTCCCATCGGCGTTCCAGCGAAAAATTCGGTAACAGGGTGAAAGGACAAAGTAATTGGATCATGGTCGTTCGTTTGCCGCGGCACGACCAGTTGAAGGATTCGACTTTCTGGTCCAAGGTCGCCGGGGGGAGGGGGACAAGTCGAGTATTTTGTCCGAGGAACAGAAGGAAGAAAAAAAAATGAGGAGAATTTGGGCGTGGTAGGGAAAAGCGTACGATCGGTTTACACACTATTACGATTACGCTTGCTTTTAGAGTGAAAGTTTTTTGGACACCGGCACGATACACGCCCTTGTACCCCACCTAATTCCAGCCGGATCATTTGCACTATATAAGATTTTCGGTGGGCAACGATCAGCACGCATTCGCATTCGAGCATCATCGAAGAATCAACGTTTGCTATTTGACAAATCGTTATTTACATACACAATGTTCTCCAAGGTTGGTATTCCTCCATATACATCTACAAATATTATATGTATATGTATACACAGTGGTTTGTAGTTCAAATTAGTGGGGCTGATGCTCCAAAAAGTTTTTAGCCTTTGTTTGAAAATGTTTGTATCATTATCTGGGGATGGCTACTGACATTAAGCTGATTATACATTGTACAAGTATTAAGAATCAGAGAAGAGGACTCATTACATTCAATGTTATCAATAATGTCAAGTAATTGGGGGTGCTCCAGAAAGTTTGCATTTGTTTGAAAATGTTTGTATCATTAACTGGGGATCATTAACTGACATTAAGCTGATTATACATTGTACAAGTATAAAGAATTAAAGAAGAGGACTCATTACATTCAATGTTATCAATAATGTCAAGTAATTAGGGGTGCTGCAGTTCCAAAGTGCCTATACACCAGCCACCACTGTGTATACATATAAATAAGTAATTAACATTATAACTACCAGGCCAAATGACCAATAATGTCTTCTTTTTTAATGATTACAAAGGCACAACAAATGATTGAAGAACCTGATTCAGTGATAAACTGAAGTATAAATCAATTGGAATCTTAAATTCACACTTGTAGCATCTAAAATCTTAAAAAGACGGTTTGAATTGGTAGTTCTATTGTTAAGTACATATTCATAGAATCATAAATGAATTCAGATTAACCCTTTGCACTCAAGAGGCGCCTTCCAATCATTTGATTTGATCCAAGAAAATGGTAAAATGAAAAATTCAATATTAAATTCTATATAACATAACTTACACATGGAAATAAAATACTTCTGTCACTTATGCAAGGTATGTCTCTATCTTAATTGCAAAAAATATCATTGACATCAGAAAATAATGAATACTTATCGACAAAAATATTCTCAACTGCAAAGGGTTAATCTCAATCTCAAACCCAAGTAAACTCAAGAGATCCAGCGATCGTCGAATTGGTCGACTCATTACAAAACAAATTAAAAGTCACATTACCATTTTCAGATCGTAATCCTCGCATGCGCCCTGGCGGTGAGCAACGCCGGCTACTTGGGAACGGCCGCGGCCGGCCAATACACTCTGACCACTGCCGCGTTGACGTCAACATCCGACAACATTCTGCGCAGCTCAGGGAACCTGGCGCAGATCGCGACGCAGTCGAAGACGATCTCCACCCCGTTCTCCAGCAGCAGCAAGTCCGACATCCGCGTAACGAACCCGGCGATCTACGCGCACGCTGCTCCCCTGACTTACACCGCCGCGCACGCTGCTCCTCTGACTTACACCGCCGCACATGCACCCTTGGCCGCGCCGATCGCGCAACCGGGCTCGCTCCTCGGCGTCGCTTACTCCCCGGCGGTGGCCGTCTCCCACATGGCCTACAGCAGCCCCATCGGCGTCTCCTACTCCTGGTAACCGGTCCCCGCCTGACTCTCTCTTATCCGACGCGGCAATCTCTCATGACTCTGTACGTGTACCCTGACCGATCGCCGTTTCTATTTATTAAATACAGTATGCCCACATGAAACGCGTGTACAGCCAAGTTATTTCTCACCAGCGTCGGTTGCTTCAGCGTATTGACTAGGTGCGACATCAAAAGATCAGACAACGTTAGTGGCTACCGCAATGGTGGTCGAGTTTTGCTGAATTTTGCACGTGGCGACGTGCGTAAAGGCAAGAAACGCTTGGCCTTAATAACACATGCTAACAGACGGGCTAGAGAGTTAAAAATGCTGGTGACTGGACGCCAGATGTGAATAGACAAGGAAAATCTACAGTAAGAATCGCGGGCCTTATGGGTTCAGGGATCTATGGCTGCCACGGTCCCTTCTCGTAATACCGTAAGGAAGATTGCAAGTTGCTGCGGGACGAAGGCTCTTGTTACGAAAAACTACCAAACGTACAGCTAAGTCTTAGAAAAGATAATAAGTGTATACGAAACTAAAACTACGATGGTTTAAGGGGCCGAACGAAACGGTAAGGGCCTTAACGAACGTAGAGTTGTAAAGGTTTTATATTTACTCGATATTCGGTTATTACATTCTGTGACATGTAGTTCGTTTGCGTCGTGGAAATGATTCTTCGTTACCGCGAGAGTGGGAGCGCGGTTGGCAACGTCGAAGGCTCGAGCTGCCGAGCCGTCCCCGACGAGCCGCGGCCGAGCGACGGTCCTTAGAGGACTTTAACCGCCCCCAGGCCGTTCAGTGCCAAACCGTTGAGTCCCAGGGGAGCCGCTGCCAACCCGGTGGTCAGAGCCGGTCCAGCTGCGAACGCCGTTGTCAGTCCTGGCGCGAGCAGCGCCGTGGGACCGGCGAGCGCGGCCGTGGCGACAGGAGCTAAACGAGAAAAGTCGTATCGCGTTATAGTTGGACCGCTTGTTGCTTTGGAGGAATATTTACATGTATATACATAGGCACGCTTGTAGGCACCATGTGATCATGTGTATTGTACAATGAAAATCGGGTGTCATGGAACGGCTAAGAGTTCTGAGAATGATTCAGAGACACGGAGAGATGAAGGGTGGATGACTGGAGAAGCAGAAAGACGAGAGTAGAAAATGGATGGTTACCAGCTAAGATATTCCTTCAACCCTCTGCGGACGGATTCCATTTCGAGGCGAGATATCAAATTTGAGATCAACGTTTTCTTCTGTTAACACTAGGTTTACGGAATATGTCGATTTGACGTAGATTGGATTTTATGAACGTTATTTGGTAAGTGTTTCAATCGGTTTTCGTTGATTCAGTTATACGAATATGAATCCTGATTGTTTCTACAATTTCCAAGATCTAAATGAATATCAACTTCCCCAGGAGCAACAGAATGAACTGTACAATAAATGCCCGTGAACCTAGTATTAAGCAATTATATATAAATTATATATTGCAATTATATATAAGCAATTATATATAAATTATCTATTGCAATTATATATAAGCAATTGATATATAAATTATATATTGCAATTATACATAAGCAATCGTATATAAATCATATATTGATATAATTAATCTCCACGCGTTGAACATAGAATCTCCGTCAGCAGAGCGAAAGACGCGCGAAGGAAGCGTGTCGGCAAACGATTACCAGATGCCCGAGTTTCTCGACGACTAGCGACAACGACACTCGCGTTGCTCGATACCGTGTTCCGGAAGAGTTCTTCGCTAGAATAGGATGTACTGTGTCGTGAGTAAATTGTTTCATAGTAGAACTGACGGCACCCCGCGATCAGGTACCTGCGAGAGCAGTGTTTGCGACCGTGACTACAGGCGCGGGCACAGCGGTCGCCGTCACGATTCCTGGATTGCTAACGCGCACGTCTGCATTCCTGACGCTACTGAACGGCGTGTCTACGCTCTTCGAGTAGGCCGATATGGCGTCTAAGTTACCGATACCCCGGATCACGTTGGAGCTGGACGTCGCGATCGTCGGCAGCGCGACCGTCGCCGCGGACAGAGGGAGAGCCGCCGCTTGCTGCACCGCGAGCGCAGCGGGAGCGGTCGCCGCGAGCAGACCCCCGCCGATCACGCCAGCCTGTCCGACCGCCAACAAGCAACCGCAGATCACCAAGAACTGAAATCAATCGATCAATCGTACAATTAGAATTTAACACACCGCGTACCGGCTAATTTCCAGGAAACTGAATTGTGATGGCAATTTTCATTTCAACTTATACTGTCGCGTCGCTAAATCTCTTTAGGAGGGCTATACGACACCTGCGAGGCACGTTAGAGCCCTGAGTATTTTTACCATAGCAGAAATAAAAGCCCAAGGAACCGTCACTTCAATAATCCAGTCGCAGTTGCTTCACGTTTTGCCAGTTTTGTAGATTTACCGTAACTTTCACCTTACATCTGTTTGCCAGAAGTCGAGGCGATTTATTACTCGCTATGGTCAGTGCCAAGAACGCTCGGGACCCTTGTCTGGACATTTCTCGGAGATTCTCCGATGAGAAATGAAATGATTGTTTTACTCACCCTAAACATGATGAGAGTTTGTCACAGTTCTTTCTGTACCGCACAGAAGCGAAACGTGGAGGGAATTGAATGGTTATGGTAAATCTGCCAGACTATTTATACTCGAGCGTTAGTAAACCTATCCATCTGCAGGACTTGAAATGCTTTTTTCTAGCCCTAAAACACGGTATCGAGTATCTGTTAACCAATGGCAGTATGGTATAGAATACGGACGGTCCGCAACGAGTCGATATTGCGTTACGGAGTTGAAGAGCATTTGATACTGAATTGCTAAACTCTCGCAATTCGCGTTGCGTTCTAGCCTCCTCTATGAAGAAAGGAGAAAGAATGTGAACCTTTTAGCCACTGAAGGAAATTGATGGAGAAGCATTGTTCTCCAGTGAGCTTGATGTTCGCAATGATCCTTCGACTTGTTCGTTCTCGAAACGAGAACCGTCACGATTCTGTAAAGAGTGCAGATTAACACTAAGTTTACGGAGTGCATGAATTTTATAAACATTACTTGGCAAACGTTTATGTCGGTTTTGGTTACAGTTACAAGAATACGTATGATAACCTAATTTTAAGTCCCTAATTTCCAAGATCTAAACGGTCGAACATCAATTTTTTTAGGGACAATAGGATAAACCGGACAATAAACGTCCGTAAACCTAGTGTTAATTGAATAGTTTCAACAGAAAATAGAATAATTTCGAAATCTTGAATGACGGATGCATTATGAGCGCGTATACCGAGAATCGGAGGGCACAAAATAGAAATGCATACGTGCAATTGCTCAACACAAGCGTATCTCGAATTGCGACGGGAGGGTGTCTCGTTCTCGAGATCTGCTAGAGTTACGGCGAACGTTTACTTACAGCTGACTAAACTAATCACGTGTAACTATGTCTGCAGAGTTGCAAAACATATGTTCTGTCATAGATAGGACGCGAGTCGACTTCCGCCATTAATACGCATTTTCCGTTTTACGGATAGGATGAGGAAGTGTGTCTCGTGCAAGGTCCATGCAGCAATGATCATTTGGAAGTGATCGATGATAGATACATCCGAGACCAATGAAGTGGGAATTTTAACGAACAAATGACACGAAAGCAAATGGAAAAAACGGAGCGATGAGATGCTCGTCATTGTAGGGCAAAGGGTTAACGATGCGTCGGGCGACAGCTCTATAAATGTCTTGATCGTTTGCAGCTTGAATCTCAGAGAAGATTCACTTAAAACGGAAAGCGGAGTTCGATTTCATTTAAAACGAAAGGAAACGCAAGGAAAGTAGATAGAAACGCGAAGCGAATGGCAATGAGGATGAAAATGCAGGCGTCACGACGTGTCGCCGTTATCTGCACGAGTTACACAATCAACATTGATCGAGTACAACAAGGGCAAACACGGCGAGCTTCGTAATTTCATAAACACACCGACAGCGACGAGACGCGTTCTACTTTGTTGAACCGGTATCTTATCTGTTCTGCTTATTAATGAAATACCTACCCTGTACACTCGTCCACGCGGTTTATCTTCGAGTTACGAGAAGTTTCTCGCCTGTCAGACTGCTTTCGTATGAAACAAACTTGCCGGCATTTCGAAACCGACTTTATTGGCAGTTCAACAAGTTCGTTATAAAAAGAACGAAATTGTTGCAACCGAGACGGACGAGTTCCATTAAATTCGGTGTGAAATATAAGGTGCAAGATGATCGGTGTAGGGGGAACTCGTTTGATTTTATTATCATCTCTTTGGAAAATATAATACAATGCAGAAATCATGGGTTCCTGGGATCCGGACCGTTTTCGTTCAATGGTTCTCCGCGGGGAAATAATTCATAGAATTCGTCTACGCCGACATACAAAACTATAGCCTGAATGTAGTGAGCAAACGCGATAGAATCTGTAAGTAGGCTTTATCGTAGCGTACAATTTCCATAATTGGTCTACAATTATTCTCAGTTCTCCCTCGTTGGCATAAGTAACTGCTACCCACGCACGTTGACGCCTGTCCGGTAGACGGTACCTACGTTCCACGAGCGCTCTATTCGCGCGACTCGCTGCGCGGCGACATTCAAGTACCTAAGAATTTCATCGATTGAAACTTCTCGTTCGAACGGTAAAACATCAAAGAGATCCGCGGTTACATCGATTCGTAGAATGTCCTCTCGCGCCGCGTGAACGCAACGAGTAATGCAGACGGATTCACGCGACGTACAATATACAGTGTTTTTCCTTTCCTTCCATCTTATCTCTAAGATTAAATATTAAAATCAAACAATCAGACAGAGGTTAGAGACGAGGGGAAGGGAGATTAATGCGTTTTCCTAGCGCGAGTCGGAAGCGGGCGCTTCCTTTCTCCAGAGATCTGCGCTCTCGGCTCGCAACCGTTCATTCTTGCCCGTTCGCAGTGCTGGAACGTTCCCGAATGTCTATCGAGTAACGACGCAACTAAAAGCACGAAAGAGATACATTATTGCTATCAACTACGGTAAACGGAAGTGTACACTTGCCTCTGGAGGCGAGTCGTACACGGGACAATTGGAAAATATAGAACGGATCTGTAGACCCGTTTGTTCAACGAACAAAAGCTTGAATAAAACCAAGAAGAAGAGAAATAACAGAGACGTCGATGAGCTGCGTCCGATGTCCGGTGTCCGGTGTTCAATAGCCGATGAACACGCGGACGAATCTTTGACTTATTCGAATTACAGGGTACAATAATTTACATAGACGTCGGAGACCAGAAGTTCATTTCCCTTAGTTCCGACGGCTTCGCTTGGAATACGTTCGAGTAGACTGACTTCTCAGCGGTAGACTTCTCGTCCGTCCCTACGTATGTCAGATTCTGAGAGGATATGGACTTCTTCCTGTTCAGGAGCCTGGACGGCGGCGGCTGCGCCGGCGAGGACGCGGCGTCGACGTTGGACTCGTCCTCCTCGTCGATCTTCGCGGTGACGATCTCCCTGGACTGTCCCAGTATGCTCGCCAAGATCCAACCGCCCTGGTACTTCTCCCGGTCGAGGAGGAAGGGGCCTGTGAAGTACCGATTCGACGGCGTGCGTCGGCGCGCCTTCGGCGAACTGTCGGGGCTCCCGGCGGGCGAAGTCAACGGCGTGGCCGGCAGCGACTTGCTGCCCTTCTTCGGCTGACTCTCGGCTTGCTCAGCCGCGAACGTCTTGTGGAACTTGTTGGACATTATCTGATTGGCTACGAGGACGATCGACTTCCCGCAAAGTGCTGGCTCGCTGTGAAATCCATCGTCTATGCCCTGGGACTTCGCCTTCGCGTTTCCGATCGGCAATGTCTTGGAAGTCTGCTTGACCTCGTTCCCTAAAAACAAGTTCAGCTTGTACTTGGTCGAAGGTCATGACGCGACGGACGGTGTATAATTAAATAGAGTATGCGTGTGCAGCTTCGGCTATACCTTTGCCAGCCGCGGAAGTCGGCACGAACGGTTGACACGGCAACGGATGCTTGCTGAAGTCGATCTCCTGACTGCTCCTCGGCTTGCTCTCGGGGACCAGTTGCTGCTCCACTTTCACATTGCTCGCCGTGTCAATGTTCTGTTCGCCGAACACCTTGTCGATCGGCCGAAATTCTTGCGAAACTGACAGTTCGTTCTGTGCCTTTGGATACCGTATGTAAAAGAAGTTGTCGTCGTGAGATGGCGGGCTGAACGTGCTCTCATCGAAATCGAATCTGTGGAACAGAGAACCGATTAATGATGTTGATAAAGCGGTGTTAACGGTAACGAATAGAACACGATTGCGTAAGGACATATGTAGATATGTGTAGAAAAGTGTTGGAAATTATAGGGAACAATAGTAGTCGGCGATATGCTGATTTCTCTTAAGCCCGTCCGTGGTTCACGCATTCGGATCGTACCAGTAGAAACGTCATTCTTATGTTCTGTCGGTTCTCGAATCTTCGATGCGCAGTAGATTCAACGATGAATAGAAATTGAAGAAACTCGGTTTACTCTAGGATCACGTGAAGAACCGCCGGTGAACGGTTCAATGAAACGAAACGTTGCTCGATCCTCCGGCTCGTTTCTCTTCGACATAGAGGAAAACGAACGGTGTCACGCCGTTGCAGAACCACGAGGGCCGCGCGTCCGAGAGCGCGAACCGTCGTGGATCTGCGAGCTAAGAATAGCGACCACCAATGGCTCGTGCAACCAGCTGTTCGGTCACGTTGCCCACATTCCGCCTGTAAATATTCTCTGCCGTTCGAGAATATACTAAATGAGAAAACAAACTCTCCTCCACGTCTATATCGATCTCGCGCGATATACAATATGCAGTGTGAAAATAATTTGTCCCGCTGAGAGAGAGATGAGGCTTGGATTCATCGATTGCTGCAGAGGACTGAATGAATGTAAATGTGTAACGTTCGCGTTATCTCTCTCGCGCTTTTGCAACTTGTGATACAAAAGCGGCAAGAGTAAACGCGAACGATGAACATTGAACGTTAAGCATTGTAATTATCAACTACGTGTGAGGAAAAAGATACCTATTATCGATCTTTCCCTTCATCCATTGCGGCAGAGATATTCCACCACCGAGCGATCTGTCTTCCTGTCTCGTCGAATCCATCGTGTGGCAATCAAGATTCTCGTTTTCACAAATTCAGATCGATATATACTGTTCAATCGGACAGGAGATTTAATCTGTTTCCCTTCCCTTCTTTTCCCTATCCTACCCTTCCTTCCCTTTAGATTCTGTTCCTTCTGTTAACTTCTACTACGGCATACGAATTTACAATACAACTTGATTCTTAATTCTTCTTGGGAAAGATTATTCTTCTAGAGTTGTCTCGTATCGCTCCCCTTTCCTAGGAAATCAACCTGCACGTTGTTCTACCGACCTACAACAAAACAAAAACGGTGCATGCGTGCACACTTTACATACGTATGTAATGTACGGATATGCAATTGTGCGCTTACGCGTGTGCACCTCGGGAAGGAACAAACACAATGTTACAAAGGGAATTCATAGTTTTTGGTCGAACGACCGCAAATTGGATTATTCGAAGCGTCAGAGCTCATTCGTATTTACCGCCTCCTGAAACATCACGGTCAACCAACCATCGTGGATCATTCTTTCCGATCTCAGTTATCTTCCGTTTACTGGAATGCATTTTTTTTTTCCTTCGTAAAACTGTCCCGTAATTCTGTTTACTTCTTTCGCTTGGATTCTCGATCGATTCCTCCGAGTTTTCAATTTGTCACGCCTCGGCACACGTATAAACAATATGGAAAGCGAGAACGAATCGTCGAGAACACACAAACAAAGAGCCGAGTGTGTACGCTAACGCGAGCTAAGCGAATAATAAAATGAATAATTTCAAGGAGTTCTCGATAAACGTTACGGTTTTATCGCCGAACGTCGCGTCACAAATTCGTTTCGTAGTACACGGCTCGTATCACGTGACGAATAATTAAATGAATTTCGACGAACGCATCAGAAGTGCTTGACATCGCAAACCATAAATACATACGATGCTCCTGCTGTTTCGTAAGCGAAGCTTAAACAAAATACGTTCCCCGTCGTACGGTACGATGCGCATAAAAGCCGACTACGAATTTACTTACTTGATTTTTACGGTGCGTTGAATATTTCCGCGAAATTAATAGCCCCATAACTGCGATATTTTGTTCAAGACCTTGGAAACGGTAACACCGTTACTTCGTAGCGACACAATCACCCACCGTTCACAACGGATGACACAAGCTCGAACATGCATTACGTTGTTTCGTGTTGTGTGCGTCAAGCCTGTCAAGGGGGACGTTAATTTCCCTTCCAACGGAAATCCTTTGTCCTCGGGGAAACGCGAAAGAACTAGAAAAATCTAGGGATAATCAGTAAGAAAATTTATACCGACGCTGACGATAATTTCCTGGAAATTATCGAATATTTTCATCTGTAGATATATATTCGAGAAGACTTATATAATGTATATATTTTCGCACGTTAAAATGTTTCTCGGCCAATTATAGCGCCAGCTGCGTCCGTCGTGTGCGTAACCGACCAATCCGAGTGCCACGTGGCGTCAGCCTATTGCAAGACGGCGTTGTACAGTTCGAATATACGCAGTTTTCCGGCGCTTCTATAGACGTGAGAAATGTTCTTCCGGTTGTGACCGCGGTGGCGAATCGTTTATGGGAATTCTCTGAAATTCTCATCGGTTCTAATCGAACTTGAACGGTCAGTTCTGACTCCATATTTTCTGATAGATTTACCTCGGTTGTTCTTTCCTGTAAAATTTCGAAACATTCTTTTCGTATCGGGCGCAGATTGCAATTCAATTTTTAATAACAGTGGCTAACCTATTTGTTGTTGTGTTATCTATAGACGCCATGTGATCGTCTTTGACGTTTATGATTATTCTTGAGAATAAATTACATTGAACGATTGCCTCTTTTTCTGTGCAGGATCCAACCACAATGAAATTCAATCGACTTGTTACGTCTTCGCGCAGAAAAAACAGGAAAAGGCACTTCACAGCGCCTTCCCACATTCGGCGAAGACTCATGTCAGCACCTCTTTCTAAGGAATTACGACAGAAATACAACGTACGCTCTATGCCAATCCGCAAGGATGATGAAGTTCAGGTATGCTTGAAATAGTCAGTGATGCGTTTCATATAATTTCGTTTTATAAAGTAGACTTGTTTTCAAAGGTCGTTCGTGGTCACTACAAAGGACAACAGGTGGGAAAAGTTGTTCAAGTGTACCGAAAAAAATTCGTTATATACATAGAAAGAATACAGCGTGAAAAAGCTAATACTGCCAATGTATATGTTGGTATTGACCCATCAAAGGTAATAAGCAATTTTTCTGTTTAACTTCCTACTTCTGTAACTGCTTCAATTTCATTTGTGATGATTTAAACCATTCACATAGAATGAGACGATAAACTGGATAAGCAAACCGATGCTCAGGGTTCTCCTTTGCGACGGTGAACTTATCTTGTTTAGTCTTTTTACTGCAGAAGTATTGGCACTGATATTCTAGATATAATATAAATTACTATGCTACACAGGGACTACTATGTTACTTAGATTTATTTTCTTACACAGACTGTTATTGTAAAGCTAAAGATGGATAAAGACCGCAAAAAGATTATAGATAGGAGAAGTAAAGGCAGACTACTGGCTGCCTTATGGAAAGACAAAGGAAAATATACAGAGGACTCGACGACCGCCGCCATGGAAACTTCATAAATATATGTCGTATTTAATTTCTGTATATGTCAATAAAAAAACATTAATATTACAGTTCATACTTAATTGTTAACAATTTCATATTTAACATTGTACCATTTTAAGTCTTAACTCTTTTACTGCTAGCCCAAGATTTGTGGTATATACAAAAACTGCCAGGGCTGATTTGATGTGTTCACTCGAACTAACAGAATCGACATCGGTTTAGATGTAAACATTTAAGTAAAAAGACCAAGGTAACATACAGTAAACGAATAAAAATTCAACATTTAGGAAAATAAAATAATGTATACGAGGAAAAAATTATAATGCGCTAGAATATGTATTCTTGAATACAGTCAGATATTCTATAAATTAATTCTTAAAGATCAAAATGATCTGGTCATTGAAATTAATGGCCGCTGTTAAGCTTACTCTCCAAATTTTAGAAAAACGTATCTCGCATGTGATCGATTCTGATGTTCGTGATAAGAAAATAAATTTAATCAATCACATTCTCTATATAATAGCCCTATTTTTCATATATATTACATTGTTGAGGTTAAATTAATGTTTGTTCTGTTGGTATCATCAATACAACTCATTGTATCCTTTGTGTGTTGATTAGAAGATTTTTTTTACGTTACTTTGGACGTATCCTTTTGCGTGTAACAATTTTTTTCACCGGTTTTATACTAACTGAAAAGAAAAGAAAAATATCTAATAATAACAGCAAGAACTTTCAAAGATTGTGCATGAATGGAAGAAAAGAGCAAACTTAACAATTTGCTTTGCAATATACCTGCTTTGTAGTTTATACATGATTCTCCAGTGTTAAACACACAGGACACATGACTTGTATCATCAAGTGTAATTTTATATTTGTGTCTTCCAAGTGTTAACTTCTTATTAGTTAAACTAAACTCTCTTCCCAATAATTTACTTTCGAGCACCTAAAAATTTGGAACAATTAGTTTTTCTTTTATGATAGTTTACATATTATATGTAACTTACCACAGAAGGAATATCTAACAGATAGATATCATTTTCTTGTAAATCTTTAAGTGTAACAGAGGGTAAAGCAAGTTCATGTATTAAGCTTTCCTTTTCTAGCAGTTCCTGTAACTGTAAAGAAGAAAAGATGTAAAAAAGAAACAAATGCTGTAAAACAAGACTTAATGCTAAAAACAAAATTTCATTTATTTATATATACATTGCACGGTTTTGTTTGCACTGTCGGATTCTTGATTGTAGATTGCAATGTTGTTTCAGTTTCTAAATTTTTGTCAATTGTTTGACTCTCTTGAAAAGATCCTTTGTGTTTCGTATTTTTGTTTGGACTAGTATTTTCATTATCTGTACAATGTATACTCTGTTTTAATGAGTTTTGTGAACTTTTTTTATATTTATTATATTTTTTTATTTGGTCAGATTCATTATTGTTGAATGTTTCTTCATCCTCTGTGCTGGTGATACAAGTTTCTCCCAAATATTTATTCTTTTTTTTCCCACTGTTTTCAAATCTACAACTTTTATTTCCTTGTGAGTTCATACTGTCATTTAGTAATGTTGAATGCTTGAAACTCATGATATCATCTTCACTGTCCAATGATACGGAAGATTCTTTTGATCGTTTGAACAATTTATCTCTCATATTTTCTGTGTTGCAATATTGATCATCATCATCACTAAGACTAGACTCACTGTCCACAGTCAAATTTAACCTTCTCAGCTGTTGCAATCGCCTTTTGGACAAAGGTGACATGCTGTCCTCTGCATTGTGTGCTATTTCTACAGATTCTATTACTTTCTCATTGTTGACACAATTATCAGTCACTTTTGATCCTCTATTGATATCAAATAATGAAACATTAGATGATACGATTCTATATTTATTCTTAACAATTTCAGTGTGAGTAACCTTTGGCGTTAATTTTTGTTTTACTACTTTATTTTGTTCTTCTTCTTCATTATTTATATCTTCATCACTATCATCAATATTGAATATGAATGTGTCGTCAGTTGTCAAATTTGTTTCATCTTCAGAGACATCTTTAGAATACAAAGTGGGTGGTGTAAGTTCTACACTTTTTATACAATCTTCTTGCATTTGTTTCTTTTCTATTACACAAATTGCTTGTTTATTTTCTGGAAATTCTTCTTGCATTTGTTTCTTTTCTATTACACAAATTGCTTGTTTATTTTCTGAAAATTCTTCATGCATTTGTTTCTTTTCTATTACACAAATTGCTTGTTTATTTTCTGAAAATTCTTCTTGCATTTGTTTCTTTTCTATTACACAAATTGCTTGTTCATTTTGTGGAAATTCTTCTTCTGTATCCTCATCAATACCAGAATCCTTAGGTTGATGTGTATTATCATTTAATAAAGATTGTTTTTGTAGAAACTTGCTACTTTCAGGTTCATCCACAGATCCTTCGTCAACTCTTAGATCCTCAACTGATTGTGCAAAATCATTATGTTGTAACTCTATCTTTGAATTTGTAAAATCAACATCTTGAATTATATCTTGATTTAATGGAGACATTAAATTCTCCTTGATATCAGGTAGATCTTCTTTATCATGCAATGTTTCATAACAGTCTTTTATTTTCAATTTCTCATTTATATCAATACTCGTATCAAGTTCTTCTTTTATTGACATTTCACTGCTTTCTTCTCTGTTTTCTGTTTCTTGTATTTCCTTGGCATCACATGTTATTTCATTAGATTTTGTACTTTCTTCTATTGTAAATGTTTCTTGGTTTCTTAATATTACATCCTCTTCACAAGCAGGTGAATCAGTATTACTCAAACAGGATTCATGATTATTAATTTCATTTAATTCATTTAGTCTGGTCCTATGAATATTTTCTCTTGGAGAATATGATAAATTTACATTGTGTTCTTCAATGTTTTCCTGCAACTCTTCATTCATAATATTAGAGAATGTATTCTTGAATTGTTCAGTGTTTGTTTCTTCTATTACCGTATCTGGTGTATCGCTTTTGCCAACGTCAAGATCTGATTCAGAGGGATAGTCTACATTTGACGTAGACACATGTGTCATACGATTTGATACAGGCGTGTCATATTTGTACAAAACATTGTAATCCGTAAAACTAGCATTATCATCGGTGTCGTCATCCTCTGACAAATGCCGGAGAACATATGTTTTCATTTTAATAAAACGACTGTAAGTTTTTAAGATATGGTAATGTTTAAGTGCAGTATTCATAACCTTAGTCGTACGACGTATTTTTCTGCACGGTGTCAGTTTGTGAGCCAAAGAAAGGTCCACCATCCTCTCCTTTACATTATTTGGTACTGTTTTCCAAGTGATTTCATTCGATTTCATTTTGTAGATTCACTATATCGCTTTGCGACAAAAGTATCAAGTCTAACCTAACTGTTTACTGATTTAAAAGTGATCCTTCCAAATAACACCATTTGAACTAATCTATAATGAATTAGAATGTAAGGAAGACACGTGAATACATATATGTCAGTAATGATTTATCGTATCCCTTAAATAGAAATTACAAAATGTATATAAGTAGAAAACTGACATAAACGACGTCGACTATGTGTTCTAATACACTAAGATACGAGTGTATTTTTCTGACACATGGTTTATAAACTTTCCTGTTAGGTATAATTACTTCGCTTAACTTAACTAGCCATTATTAACTTTCTTAAAATTATTTATCGTTATTACTAAATTGAAAATAATAGTGTATACACATTGGCGCGCGTGCGCGCGCATATATATATATAGATATACATACCAGCTTGCCAGCTTGATGGTACGTACGTCTTATACGTAAGTACTATATTCGTTTCAACTATCGAAGTGAAATGTAAAATAATAAAGCAAGAGGAAAAGAATAAAAGCTCTAAAATGTATGAAATATAATTGAAATTTCATACAATACTATTAACAATATATCAATGTCCTTGATTAAACGTAATATTTATCGAAATTCCTTTCACATTTCTTCCTTGGAACTACATACATAATCGTGTGTATGTAAAATGGATTTTACGATGAAATCGAAGTGTTAAGCTAATTGGAAAATTGATTCGTTATGACAAGTATGTATGAGAAGATTAATTACAGGAGATAGATTTTTTAAGTGGAAATAACGAAGAGGAAATAGATTTTTTAAAAAACACGAAGATTGTTTATATAAATATAACTTGACGCTCGGATAAAAGAAAAATATGTTATTTACGAATCTTTGTCATCTAAATATGCTCTTATATACCGGAAGTATGTGAATCGATGGATGTAGGTATGCACCTATATATAGGTACTTACATATATGAACAATGATGCAAACGAAAGAAAGGCAAAAGTGGAGGGAGTGAAAGGATGGAAGCAGAAGAAAAGGAATACAGCGACTATCAAAACATTTTATAATTGCTTTGACTTCTTTAGGTACAAGAAATAATTCATTAGTGATAAATTTTAAACCCGAGATGCCGAAGAGTGTTTAATAATAAAGTAACGTTGAAAAATATATTTTAAGGTTCACCAATGATAACAATATATGTAGTATGTAGAAGAAAGAAGTGCAAGAATGCAGAAGAACGCCGTCGCGGTTCATAGTGTGAACGAGCTACGAAGAATTTTATATTGAATTTGATTATTGATGATCAACATATGCAATCGTTTAATGAAAAAGGGAGGTCATTTGATTTTCGAATATTTCATTCCAACCGGGGAAAGTAAAAAGATTCATTGGGCCGGATACAGGTAAAGATGGTTCGAGATACTTTTTGGCTCGCGAAAGTGTTAGACCGATGATAATTTTATCGGTAGATTTGGTGAACATTAATGAAAAGAAAACTCAAGAATGCATCAAAATCGAAGGAAGAAAAAGCGAGTGAATTACGGTGTAAGGACAGTGGAGGTGTCGCGCGGATCGAAGGGTTTTGGTTTTACAATCTCGGGACAGCAACCTTGCATTTTGAGTTGCATCGTTCCCGGCAGTCCAGCAGAAAATGCAGGACTACGAGCCGGCGATTATTTAGTATCAGTGAATGGTCACAATGTCAGCAAAGTGCCTCACGATGATGTTGTACAACTAATTGGTTGTTCTAAGGGTATTCTGAGGTTACAAATAGCTGAAAATTATTATTCTGACTCTTCGGACGAAGAGGGTTTGGCAACCGTACGCTGTAGGCCTAAATATACTCATAAACCACGTACAAGTAATATAGGAGCGCTCCAGCTGCAATGTAGAGTCGCCAAAGTTGTAAGGGATCTGCAAAGCGGTGTTATGTTCGATACAACAGAAAGAGCGTCGACCGAATTACAAAACCAAGAGAGCTATTGCGGTTTACAATATCGTTGGGATATGTCTAGTCCTCTTCCACCACCGCCGCCGCCAACTTCGCACAAAAGAGACTCTGAAAAGATAGTGCATAGAACAGTAGTCGGTTATTTGGGAACTATAGATATACCGAACCAATTACACCCATCTTGTATGATGCAGGTAATACATATGTGCAGAAAGGAAAATTCTATAAAATTTCATGTACTATTTGTATAATTCATCGCGTGTCATTAAAGTTTATTTATTATTACAGGTTTTGAGGAAATGTATTAAACGCTTGAAAGCAGAGAAAAGGAACCCGACTACAGTGCTTTTAACAATACACGTTGCAAATATAAAGCTCACCAATTCAGAAAATCATGTTATAGCAGAATATCCGTCTTACAGAATAATATTTTGTAATTCGTTCTCTGAACAGGATAAACAGTATTTCGGTATACTGACTAAATCTGTTAAGGATAAAGAAAATATTGTTTCAAATTCGTGTCATGTTTTTACAATTTATTATAAATTAATAGACCATGCTGTACATTCCAGTGTGTGTAATATATTCGGCTTTACATGTACTAAAACATCTGAATTAAATGTTTGTCAAGAATTTCCTGACAGTTGCAATAGCCTGATCGGTGCAATACAAACTTTGTATATATCAGATTCCACGAGTACAGACGCGAATTCTTACAACGAAATACGAAGGCATCAAGATGCATCTTCTCCACAGCCAAGTAACATAAGTACATCTACGGCTCATTCGAGTAACAGTGATTCTGGAATTGGCTTCAAAGATGATTGCACCAGCCGTTTGGATAAAAATAATACTCAAGATGTTTCTCGAAGAAGATGTTATCCTACATCGGATTACAAGGTACACCAACTATGTTTCTTTCCAGTAATTTTATAAATTCCAATTAATAATACTCAATATTATACTCGAAATTAACGGTTCTCTATTCAAATTAATTCCTAAAGAAATTCACGGTGCGATAATGAAATACAATTAATTGAATTATCACGATAATCCGTAAGAAATAATGGCGCACGTAACGAATACGATGTATATTTTCAGGATGCGTGTGCACATTCGCCGAAAATGTACGGTAATGCGGCCGTCGACTTCAGATTGACCGTTCGAGCTGTATCTAACGCGTACTGGACCGAAAGAAACGAGTCGGACGCCTGTAAGAGTAATGGGAAGCTGTCTCACGAAAGTGTCGTCTTCAATGATTTTTGCAACAGAATAAGCGCGTGCACGACATCGATAAAAGATCACGAGGCGCACTCCGACTTACAAAAGGAAACGAAGAGGGGGAATTTGCCCACCTGTCCGTTACCATCTGCCTCTACTGTGAAGCAGGGGTTGGTTAGTTCGTCCGTTGGTTCGCTCGCGTCCGTTTGCACCACCGCGATGCTGCATGGCATAGAAGACCGCGTCGAGACCTCCGAAAACTCTACGTTCAGATCGAAAGCGTTGCTAACGTTCACGCAATTAACGGAACTGACGGAAACAGATAACCGGGATAAATTTAGTCCGAAAGTATTCTCCGGTATCTCGAAATCTTTAGTGCACAGTTTCGAGGATCTGAAAGCGAGCATGGATTACACTCGACCCCTGTGCCAAACCTATTCAGATAAGTCGGACAATTCACGACCATGGGGAAGCTTACAAGAAATTCGAAACATCGGGAGCTGCGTACAGGACACCTGTATGGTAAGGTCTATTTTATATTTTTATGGTTTTTATTATGAATAATTAATAATTAACCGGTATATAATATAAATACATCTTTCAATAAAATTAAAAACTAAGGAAAATAATATAAGAAAAACGAGGGAAAAATTTAGTTTGTGCATGTATGTATTAAACCATGTAGTTATCGAATTTCCAATCAAAACGGGGAAGTCGAGGATTGAATGGATGTAAAATAAAACATTTCTACGGATGAGTGTATTTCTAACGGACAGACGAACGAACGAATAACTGAATGAATGTCTGAATGAGCGAACGAACGAGCGAACGAACGAGCGAGCGAGCGAGCGAACGCAGTAACAAATGTACGAAGGAACGAACGAACCGACAGACCGACCGACCGACCGACCGACCGAGAGATCAAGCAACCGACCGAGTAAATCGAGTAAGAGTGGTACGGCGAGGGGAAGAGAGAGGGAAAGAGAGAGAAGGAAATGAAGTTCAGGCGAATGTATGCTCGTGGCAGAGTACACATGAGAATGACATGTTCAGCTTAAAATGAACGTGACGTTGATCGCGATACTTACGACGACGCTAATTAGTGCTCAGTGATGTTCGATCGAATTATTTCGGTGTTCCATTGACCGCGGAAAGGTTTCGTTCGGTAGTGAGTTGATTGGTCGACGATATCAGTTGTGTTAGTGTACGTCGCGTTCCGCTGATGAGCACCGCTCGAAAAGCGCCGTGCGTGGAATCGACAATTGTCAACGGTGCACCGGTGCAGCTGGGCGGAGCCCTTATTAATACGAATTTAGGGCAGTGTTTCGTGTAGAAATCGTTTCAGGGAAGAACGTTTAGCGAGCTGATCGGTTCGATACGAGTGATTTACATTAGTTTCTCCCGTCGATAAATGGGATCGTGGCGCGGTTATACGGAGAAATACGATCTTCGGTCACGACATGGACACCGAGGTGAAATCGGTACGTGGTGCACAAGACAGCAGTCGATATTGTTATGTTGCCGATGTAACATTCTTTTTCCTGTTGGTAATATATTAACGGTCAGCGATCACGGAACAAAGACGTTTCATTTCTTTTTTTGTATTTATAGACAAGCTAGGTAAACGATCTCGAAATAATTATAAAATCGTCGCGATACGTCGATCGTTCTACAGAATATTTCGTTCCAAGAATTTTTCATGACTTTACGTTCCTCGAATTTTCTTTTATCGCGGCGCAACTAATATATTTTCCTCGTTCGTTCGTCACGTCGGATCGTCGGTATTACTCGAACTTTGCTAATTGATATTACGGTACCCGAAGCAGATACGCAGAAAGGTGCGCGGATCCTGTAGTGCTCGGGATTGTTAAAGATGCGGCGTGAAAAGGTGGGAAAACCTTTAATTTGTTGCAACCTGTGAGAATATCTCTTCGCTCCCACGTTCCGGTTCTACCTGCTTTTACGCGTTCCATTCGATTAATGTAATTAACGTGAAATGTAAATGAAATCATCGTGCGCGATTCTTGTAATCCGTTTGCTAGGAATTCTGTATCTAATCGAATCGTGTAATGTTCGATAGCTTTCAGGTAACAGTTTTCTCAAATATTTTTAGTATTATTAATGTATAATTAACGGGAGTATATAAGCATACAATTAATATTTTCCATCGGAATAATTTCGAAATTTCAAATTCCAAGGAAACCACCGAAATATCTTTTAAAATGTCGGGACAGAATTAAAATTGATTAACGGTTCGTCGTTGATTGTTTAGTAATTTTATGATTCGATATATTTTTAAAGTTTTAAATAAAAATTCCGACGATGCGATCGCGCAAGCGCTCAATTGTTCCCCTTTATGACTCGTTAAATCCTAGTTAACGACGTTGATCAACAAGGTAAAATTTTTTAATCTTTATTTGACCGTAGCACGGTAGCACGGAATTATGCGACAAAAACACCGATTACAAAAGTATACATGCATGGGCAAATGGTTTCGAGAAATTATTGGAAGATCCGAAAGGATTGCAAACATTTGCAGTGAGTATTTAATAGTTTTATTTATAGCAATAATTGTTCTTGTGCTGAATCTGTTGTTCTTTTAAAGGAATTTTTGAAGAAGGAGTTTAGTCATGAAAATATCTATTTCTGGGCTGCTTGTGAAAGATATAAAGACACTAAGGATATCGTTACACGGCGCAAGTTGGCTAGTCAAATCTATCAACGTCATTTATCTAATACGGCATCTGAGCCTGTGAACGTAGACAGTCATGCTGCTGGTCAAATAACTCCAGAGCTTCTCGGCGAAGCTCCTGCTAATCTATTTCTGCAGGTAAATAAATCATTTGTTATGTAACATATCACTGCTGTAGTTGTTGTTGTTGCTTTGTTGTTTGCAAGTTTCTTTGTTTTAAAATAATATGGAAATAATCCTTATGACTTTTACTAGGCACAGAAACAAGTTTTCAACTTGATGAAATTCGACAGTTACCCAAGGTTCTTGAGATCCGATCTGTATCGTCGTTGTATGGAAACAGGATGTTCCACGGTTGCTGTAGAGGATTGTGATTTAAGTCTCACTAATTCGCCTAGTGTGAAATTAAAAAAAAGCCATTCAGATGCTGAAGATCGATGTAGAAAGTCTATTCTTCCATGGAATAGAAAGAATAGGTAACCACGTATAAAGATGTATAGGGAAATCTTGCGTGTATAAAATGTTTACAAATCCAAATGCTGATATGTCGTTTTTCGCTTCTTAATTTAGGTCTAAATCAAAAGACCGCGGAGAGACCGAGTACAGTAAAACCCCTAGTAGAAGTGAAACCATTTATAAGAGTTTTACAACTATGAAGAGAGAGTCTGAAGGTAATAACAACGACGACAGTATTTCCATATCTAGTAGCAGGTCTTCGTTAGCTTCTTGGGATTTGGCACTGAGACAGTCGTTCCATAAACATGTAAGTACTCTCGTACGTTGCGCTAACTAGCCAGCTAGTTAAACGCAAACAGACAGTGATGTTACTTGACATAACAGTTAGATTGAAAGCATACGTTATGTGTGAAGTTATCGTAATAGAGTTTATCTTACAATGCGTTGCAAAAGGCATTTTTTCACTTTAGTACTGTGTAAACTACAGGAGTGTTATAAATATTATTGAGAACCGTCGTTAAAGCATGAGTAGAGAATTTGTTTGAACAAAACGATAAATAAATACAACAGATAACACATAATGTGTAATAGGTAATTACATTGATATTTTCTTTCGAATCTACAAAACTGTTGTATGTATAAATTGTAGTCTTTATCGTCCTACGAAGGACAGTCGAACGAATCAAAAGAAGTTCGTACCAAATGTACCGGGTTGTGTCGGGTAATATTACCCGACGGATCGACCACGGTTGTGCCGACTAGCCAAACGGAGAGTATTAAAGATGTGGTTACACGCCTCCTTGATAAAAGAGCTCTTCGATACTCTAACTATGACGTTCTAATCCTAGCCACAGACGAGGTTTGTGTTCTCTCGTATTTATTTAACGCATCTTTTCGAAAACACTGTCGAAAACTAACAAAGTCGGTCTTTCTTCTTATTAACTGGAATCCGAGATTCGCTATACTGGGACGTGTGCTTTGCTACCTCTTCCATTACTTTCTTCCTTCCAGAGACGTTTCTACCACCTAACGATTATATCTTTCATTCGCCATCAATTTACTCGGTGTCCAAATCTAACTAAACATTCTGGTGAGCATAGCCTGGAGATGGTATAAAGTGTTGCTAGGAGGGCGTGTACTTTTTTGTTACCTTGTTATTTACTGTTATCTGTTATCTCATACACGTCAATACTGGTTTTGATAACCATGCATGCGTTTTTTCAACACTGCTTTCGTAGTTGTACACCTTTGAATTTAAGATATAAGACACTGACAGACATTTCTAAGTGTATTCACGTACTGCCTCTAATTGGAAGCAATCTGATTGGACTCGTAATTTTAACTGCCAAGAATACGGCTGACGGACGAAGACGCGATACGCATCTATCTTTTGGTTTTTGTTTTGTACTTTTAGACAATAGAAGTGAAATACCCGTCGTCTGTACTAGCTGGCCAAGAAGTAGAAGTTGTCCCAACGAAAATATTAAAAGTGGACTTACCACCGCGACGTGTAATAACTGTGATTGCACATAAAGGTAGAACTCTTAGAGAAGTGTTGAAGCCGCTGTCAAATAAGTATGGTTTCAATCTGAATACAATCACTGTCTGGAGTGAAAATCATTGCGTTTGTATGGATATGCCAGCTATCGATGCTCCAGCCAGATTGACATTGACTAACGTAAAGGAAGAAGGTAAACAAGCCATTTTTATATACCGTCTTTTATATCTCTGCGGTGTTGAAGAAATTAAGAATAAAAACATTATCGTTACGTAGATCCGATGCACGAGTTACACACGGTGAAATATACCCACGACGTGCCGCTCGCTCAGCCGACGTTAGATGAGATCACCAACAGAGTCTTCGAAGAGCTGTTGGTTGGAAAAGGTGCGAGCAAATATCAGTACAACGATGGCTCATGTAAGGTAATAGAAGCAATTATCGAAAAGATTACTGTTCGATATTAGATTATCGCTCTTTATTAAATTTATGTTGTGCATGCAGTCGGACGATCAGCGCTCCGAAGGTTCCTCCATTTTACCTAGTAAATTTTTTCTCCGCGATTCTACGATGCATGGAAAAAAGAAGGTATGAAATACACAGATGTATTTATTTCATTGTTTATTTGTACGTCGTCTGTATCACGCATAAAATGAACATATCGTCGTTTCTTGTTGAAGGGAAAATCCAAGTGCAATTCAAACGATAAAGGAAACGCAAACGATTACACGTCTGAAGAAACTGTCAAGTCTCATCCTCCTTTAATAGCGAAATGGCGGAATGGCGTTAAGTTGCAGTTGCCAGGAAAATTTGACGGTGAAGGTAAGTGATATATATAAATAAATATATAAAATATATATATATTTATAACATATATATTTATATTTATAATATATATTATATATTTATATATTTAAAATATATATATATATATATTTTCTCCATTTTGATGAATACTATGGAGGAAGAAAACGGTATATGTTTCTGATGCTCGTTGTAGATCTATACGAAGGATTAAAACGAGCTCAAAGATCCAGGCTGGAAGATCAGAGAGGAACGGAAATTAATTTTGAATTGCCAGATTTCTTAAAGGTAAACGGATAAAAGCATATTCTCTAAGATATACTCATGCGTATCTATCCGACGATACGGTATTTTTATGACGCGTGTAGACATCTCGTTGCCTTTTTACATATATGTTACGTTGAAACTTTGATCATGCTGCGTTTCGACCCTTAAAGCTATGAAATTACTGATCAGAACAAGGAAAATGGTAAACCGGCGGATCGCTGCAACAAGGTTCGAAGACATAGGATAATGTGCGCCAGTACCACTGAAGCGAACGCTAAGTTTTATGGGTCAATTAACGAACGGGAATGTATTGAGGGACAGGATCAAAGCACGGTAGCTCCGTCAAGGAACGGAAATGTCAATGCAGAAACTGCCGTTGTATCCACCGGTGGGAAAGATTCTCAGAGTAAGTCTGAAGACAATTCGATCGTATTGGTCCCGACTTTAATGGATGGAAACGGGGATGCGGATACGGATACAGACACGGATACGGATGGGAATGGGGATGGTGTTGCGGTTGCAATCGGAATTGCCAAACGAGAACGAGACCGTGAACGAGAACGAAACCGACAAGTGGTCGTAGAGAACGGATCCGGCTCTCGAATAGTCGCTTTGGATTCTTTCGACCTGCGAACCCTGTCGAACATGAAATCATCGAAACCTCCACCGCTTCCTCCGAAACCTAAAAATCTTATCACAAACGCTACTAAAACTGGGTATTTCGTGTCCTCGAAATCTTTACCAAAGTCCATTCGAACGATTCCCATTAGTTCGACCGAATCAAGTCGAAAAAATATTTTCTAACGTGTTGGAAAATTCGTACGTTTAACTCGACCGATTTGCGCATTCCATGCAAATCGTAAAATACGTAGTACATTTCTATTTTGAGATTTGTTGCGTAGACGCATATATGTATACACGTTCCATCCTATATACATAAAAGAAAGAAAGGAAGAAAGAAAGGAAAAAAAATATTGGAGAAATGCCACGACCGTGATGCGTCGTATTATTTCGTCCGATTGACTGATTAATCTATCTGTAGCCCGAAATTTCAAAAGTGCCTTGATGCGAATCATGCTAGACGCACAATACATTGCCAGCTTCATCCGACGATCGTGTTGGTTGATAAATATTTATGATCCTTTTACGATATAGCTGTTACTCTCCTGGTTGTACAGGACATATATTTTATTGTAATTTATAGTCGATGAATGTTGTTACATGTAAACAAAAATAAATATTTGAGATTTTATGCGAAACGAATAAATTACATAAAGTTTATTTTTCAAATATGCTCCTATATTTCTGTCATGATTCCTTTGTATCGTTAATTCTCATATCTTTAACCTGTCATCGAAAACGATCAACCCATGTATCTATGAATACTATACGAATAGACCAATTGCGTTCATTAAGTCACATTTAAATGTAACATATTTTTCAGTCTATGGTCAGCGACAACCAATTACAAGCGATGAATTTTCATTTGTTTTTAGTTGTAGTAGGTGGCGTTGTATATGCTAATAAAATATTTTACGCGGGCTGCTAGGATCGTGTGGCCAACGATAGAAATTAGTGGAATTTCCTTGTTTCAGTAAACTCGATAAGATCGAATTTCTGACACTCTTTGACATGTTGGCAAGTCACGTTGCGAAAAAAGAATACCATTGAACGAAAATAGAATTACTCAAGTTTAAGTGTTAGCGTTTCCTTCGAGTGATAAGCAACACAAGAAAATCTGGCGCGAAAGGTAAGTGTCTGAAAATTAACACCGTGTCGTCTTCGCTAATTAACGACAGGAAAGCTGCTTCTCGTTCAATTCGAATGTTTCATTAAATCGTAATAATACATGGGAAATTGTTCCTATCGTGGATTCGACGTATTTTGTTTTAAAAGTACCAGTCACTTATCTGCGTAAGTACGTCAGTGACAAAATGTATACAAAGTTTCTTTCGGCATTCAGGAATACACGTGTTACGTACTTACACTTAACGAAGTAATACATAATTAATATAATAGATACAAATACGTATTTGCATCATAGATAGGTAGCATTGTTTCTTTTCCATATTTTCGATATAAATGCCACTTATTATAATATTCATTAATGTGTGTGTGTGCTTTCTGTGTGAGTGTGCATCATTACAAGCAAAGCTTGCACATATTTTAAAGTGCTGCAGTAATTAATATTAATATTACCGTGTATTGAACAAAAGTAATCAAAGTTATTGAAACTTCTATTCGCCTCTAATCGATTCGCATGCACACTTCGAAAATATTGTTTCGTTACGCTAGGTCGGACGTTTGCTTCCTCGACATCCGAATAGATAGCGTCAACGTCTACCGACAAGGAAACAACAAGAATTTTGCTTCCCGTAAACGGTACGTATGCAGATGAATAATTATTAAACATCGTCGAGTTGTCAATATTGAAAACTGAATTTCCATCGTGAAGGTTATAACGTTCGCGCGTAAATATTTATTTCCACGGTGGACGTATCGAGACGAGATTATCGCAATGTTTCCTCTGATAAATGATCGACTCGAATCGCTACACGCGAGTACGGATACATAATTGTTGAGAATGTTGCGTGTCAGAGACAGCTTCGAACGATGGTAATTTTGATTAGTTTTAAATAGAGTGAGGCTTACACGTGTCGATACGCATTTCTGCCTCTGATTCGCTTGTTGCCTTATTTTTTTGCAATTCGACGAGTCAAGCAAGGACATTTGTTAGATATACAGGGACTACAACAAGTTTCAGCTTTGTCGTAACACACTGCGTACCGGGTAATTTTCAGGAAACTGTAACGATGGCAATTTTCAGTGAAATCAATTTATATCAGTATAAGTGTATATAAACAATTCAGATATCATGTTATTACGTAATATCTTTTAAATAGACAATCAATTCGAATCAAATTGAATATTTATCTAATGCTGTGGTAATTAGAAAAGAAATACAATATTAAATTATTTACTCTAAATTGAGATCGCGTAAAAGGTGTTCCAATGTACCGCGTAAAAAAGGGGCTCGGCTGTGTATACAGCAACGAGAGAAATTTCAAGTTCAAGGAAAATGTATATTTTTCAGACGGTCACAATGTTGTCGTGCATCGTCGAGACGGACGAAACTTCGCCGACAAAGTCCGAGGAGACGTCGCCTATGACCGGTATCATCCGAGGATTAATGAACTCTGCACTCTCGTCGCAGAACTGTTCGAAATGTCACGGGATGGAAACAGAAGAAAACCGACGAGGCGGTAAGCAGAATTCCTCTCTGAGAACACATATAACCGGACTGCGGGTCCTTATGCGAATTCAAATTAATTAGAATGTAATTAGAACAGCAGAATTACAATGGAAAGTCAAAGGAGCACTAAGTTTTAGATATTCTACATACTTTCTTTATGTCGCATGCATTCGAGTTTCCCATAAATGCATAAAAATCCGCAGTCTATATATAACACATGAGAAACGGTAATTTTTTGTTAAGAAATTAATGGGTTAATCGATGAAAAAGTGAAATGTACCGGCAGGCCCTAATTGTTGAAAAGTATTTCGACTAGCTTTTACTTGCAATGGATGCACTGTAAAACGGAAACAGAGAGAGAGGTAAAGGATGAAGATGAAGAGACCACCAGGGAAAAAATATATGGTGGTCACACTGGTACTATAGGTGGGCGAGTAGGAGGAATGCAGGCCCTAATTGTTGAAAAGTATTTCAACTAGATTTTACTTGTAATGGATGAACCGTAAAACGGAAACAGCTAGAGAGAGAGGGGTAGAGGATGAAGATGAAGATGAAGAGTTAGATGTAAAAAATATATGGTGGTCGTACTGGTAGTATAGGTGGGCGAGTAGGAGGAAGAAGAGGAGGAAAAGTAGGAGTAGGAGGAGAAGGAGGAAACGAGGAGACGAAGAGTCGAAGAGACGGTGAAGGGTTTCACGACCACGCTATGCGGGGTCTTTGAGGTCTCGAGGGTTCTCCGGGTCCCCGGGGTCTGTGGGGTCCTTTTGATCCCCGGGGTCTCCGGGGCCTGAGGGGTCTGGAGGGGCTTCGGTATATATTAGCATTTCTCGTAAGGCCGGTAAGGCAGGTCTCACAACTTAATCTGAAAAGACGATACGCTCTGTTCGCTAACCTTTAACGGTTGTAGACCGAATTGCTAATCGATTTTTTTCCCGGCGCGAATAATTTCCGACAACCTCGAAACCGTTCGAGAACGGGTGTACCGTTGCCGTTCGGGCGATTGTCGTTTCAACGTCGCGTGGTCAACCCTACCGTACAACCAACGGTGTCACGTGTTACGTAACGTGTAATCGAACGATGATGCCTTTTCAATCATCTCGACTCCGAACGATAACGTTTTCGTTCGTTGAAAGTTAGTGTGCCAGTTGCACGATTGCTCACCGCTCGCCGCCCCTAGTACAAACGCATATTAAGGAGAGATCGAGATAAAGTGACAATGAGGGAGACAGCGCGATTAAGCGCTATCCGTTCATCGGATCGACTATTCCCGCTTTTTACGCGTTAATCGTATGTTCAACGTAATAATCAGTTGCAATGCTGACACCATGGAAGACCATATATATGACAGTAACATTAGCAACTATCGTCGACAATAAAAAGCGAATTAGTTCTGTCGGTACGTGTTGGGCACGCGTTGGAACGTTTATCGCTCACGATACGAGAGAATGCATCGTGCCGTTGCATCTAGTTAGCAGCTGTGTGACTCGCTCAACGGTGACCTTTGTTTAATCGGCATTCGTTCTTTATCGTTAACCACGCATTGATGCACGCGTGGCCGTGCGCGTCCGGTATTTAGAAGTATTCGTGCTCGCACGAGCGATACATGTGTATTACGTTTAATGGCGTCTACTAAACGACTAGCACGAGTCGTCCTATAAAACGAGACTCGTTTGATTCGAGAGTTCATCTGTACACACCGGTTTTCTAATTTCTGATGTTATCGAGTAACGTACAAACTACATAACCGTTTACACCGAAGAAAACAGAAGAGGTTTCGCATTCAAGCGTCGCGTATTAGTATGTATCGTTAATTTCGTCGCATTCTCAGCGGCTCACGAACGGCCGAGGTTACCGTGCTACCTGCGTTATCCCGAGTCGAGTACGTACGTTTATTTTTTGTCAATTCCAGCGAGCAGCGGAGGGGGGAACAAACGTATCTACATGAATATATTGTACGCGCGGTGATCTGCGCTGGAGGGAGCCGGTTGACGAAGTAGAAACTTTAGAATGGGGCAGGCGATGAACGCGAGACAATAGTGCAATTGTTTAGCGACGTCCGATATACTTCTAACCGAAACGGCGCTGCTCGGTGACGATCGCAATGGTCACGGTGTAGGCAGCACCTGTAAGCACCTGTAATTGCACGCCCGCGCTCGTCCGCGCTGCCCTGCGCAGTTCCATGTTTAATTTTTCACTCATTCGCTTCATTGTTTTAGTTCCGCTGCTCTGATTAGAAGCGTTTCCACCTGTACGCTCTAACGTACTTTCACCTCGTCGTTACTCGTCACAATGGAAAGGAAAGCAAGACTCTTCGAACATGGAAAGAAATTAGGCCAGAAGTTGCCTGTCCGTTGAAATTCAGAATATCGATCGTACGACCTGTGTCGCAAGTCCCGTGAAGCTTACACGGTCACCAAAGGAAACGCGTACGCGCCGGCTTCCGATCGATACTCGCACCCTTCTGCATTCTGTTTTTATGGTAGAATCCGATCGGAAGGCGAGTGAAGGTTGTACGTTTTCAAGGCATTAACGGAAAAGATGAAGTTCGCTTCGAGGGTAGAAGGGAATGCAACGGAGGGGTTGAATCGCAAAATGGGGCAGATCGGCAAGCGTTTCCCGTTACTCGAAAGCGTATTCTCGTCGAGAGATTCACCAGATAGCATGTACCGATCGTTCGTGGAACCTGGAAAAGCAAGAATCGACCGCGACGTCTGCGCGACATCCGCGTTACCGATGGCGGTAATTAGACCGCCGTGAACTCGCGCGTGAACGTACGGTAACGACGGGGCGCTAACGTGCTGCTGGTGTCTCCGGTGCTTCTAATATTCCGAGGGGTCGGTCTCTCCCCGGAGGGGAGGGTAAGGGCTCAGGGGGCAGACATATGAGCACACATGGAACGACAGTCGCCACCTGGCACGGTGTAGCTGAACGCTTGCCATCCCCGTGCGAGCGTACGAACCTATATACGTACAACATTTAGGGTACCCCCGAAGCGTACCATGACCCCAACCCTCTTGGCTCGTGCCATTCCGCATTGTCGTAGGATTTTTCATTTTCGCCTTCCAAAGAACGCGGTTCCCTCGCGAGAATTTCGGTTCGTACTCGTACCGTACCGAACGCGAACGGTGGAATTACCATTGGTACAATAGCTCTTAAGTTACTGTTATCCACGTGAATATTCATCGGTTGTCGAATCGTCCCAAGTTGCCGCTCGATGACCGTGTCAACCGATAGAGGCGTCGATTGAAACGCCGACAGTTGGTCGAATTACTGCGAGTAGAATAGTAGAAGACGCCGAATACCTCTGAATTCTCATGCTTCGTTAAAGATCGTAGACGTCGTCGCGACGAGCACGGCGCGTACCGCACGCGATGCCGGGGAATATCGATCTTAGACCGGTTTCTAATTTTGTTCGCGTACGTTAGCGCGTGACCGTCTAAGCGCGAGCGTCGGTCGTTCGTCTCTGTATTTATGGAAGAGATTGTCACGTCGAAAATAGATTCGGGGGGTAGTTATTTTCAAGTTGATCCCCGCGCGCGAACGGTCCTGCGCCGCATCCCTCGCGGCGCGCACGGTTCTCCCTCGCCGGTATATATTTAACCAGTGCGTTTTTTACTCGAATCGTCTACGGCGCGACACGCTCGCCGCCCCATGCTCCGTCGAGCGTCGAACGCGTCGATTCGCCTCGGTTATCCGATACCTCGCGTCGTCGTTATTCGCGTAACGAACGACGGAACGATTCTCCGTGTTCCTTCTTTTCCAACCGAAAGTGCGCGTGCAGGCGCCTGCTCTCGCGCGACACGAGCAAGACCGAGCGCAGATCACCGGGGAATAACGCACAGGTAGAACGACGTAACGTCCGTCACAGAGACTGCGTCGACTTCCTGCGGAAGCGTTTCACGATGAACGCGACTGCGCTCGCGAGGAAGGAAAAGGCGTTCCGGTTCTGTACCGACCCTCACCCTTCCGTGACTGCATCTTTCCTTCTCGCTGCCGTAACATGTTACCCGTTTAACCTGTCCTTCGCAATTTTCACGTATCCTTTACGTGTGTTTTCTATTATTCTCGAAAAACCGAGCGATTCACAGGCGTACGAGCGAGCACTGCTAGATCACTCGATCGTTAGGAAGGGATTCGATGGATCGGTTACCATTCTCACTCGATTCTCCTTCATTCCTGAATTTCTCATATTTCCTATCGTTAATTCACGTCGACACGGTTACACATAGTAGAAACTATGTTTCTACTATAGAAGTATTCACACGCGTACAAGCGCGAGTACTGCTAGATCACTCGATCGTTGTACTGCTGCGAGTACTGCTTGATTCTCTCTCGTTCCTCAATTTCTCATATTTCCTATCATTCATTCACGTCGACACGGTTACACATGGTAGAAACTGTAGAACTGTAAACTAGAAAGACCTTAGTCATCTTCTTACAGTACCATTACAAAAGTACCGAACAAAATAAGTTACCAAGCGATTCACACGCATACAAGCACGAATATTGCTAGATCACTCGATCGTTAGGAAGGAATTCGATGGATCGGTTACCATTCTCACTCGATTCTCCTTCGTTCCTGAATTTCTCATATTTTCTATCCCTAATTCACGTCGACACGGTTACATAGTAGAAACTCTAGAACTATAAACCAGAAAGACCTTACAGTAATCTTACAGTACCATTACAAAAGTACGGAACAAAATAAGTAACGTCGCCAGATATTTATAGGATCGGTCGAAAATTGCCGGAGCAGGAATCGAGGTTTTATCAAATGGTTCCAGATTGAAAATGGATAAGCCTTTGTGGTGGGCAAAGTCGCGCACATGGGTTGCACGTGTACACATACATACACGTACATATCGTATAACCAACTCTGTTACCGTACACGTGAAACATTCTTGTGCCTGCATGCCTGTTTGCCTGCCTGCCTGCCTGCCTGCCTGCCTGCCTGCCTTCCTGCCTGCCTGCTCGCCTGCTCGCTTGTTTTCCTGCCTATCTGTGCCTGTCGTTACATTTCATTTTTTCTGTACAATTTCCAAAGAACCTCTCAGAGTCTAACGTTCGACGGATTTTCATTACACGGAAAAGTCGTCGATAGAATCTAATTTATACATCGTTCTACATCGATTTTGCATTACAGATTCCAGCGATGCGCGCCATTCGAGCAGGGTTAAAAGATCGAGGAGTAC